GTAACCACACACAAATAGGATTACCGTGTCAGATGTCGCCAGACTCCATCACTGGCAGCTAGCTTTGTCATCCTGCCGCACCACATATCGAACAGACTTTCCCTTTCGTTTGCTCCAGCACTAATGGCTTGCAGGCTTAGACGGCGGCGCCGGCAAGAAATGCAATTTTTAGGGTCAATTGGACACCGTTGCCACATTGGTGCGTCGTGCCCATGAATATGATGCCGAATGTGGACAGCCTGACTGACTGATGCTCTACTAGTGCATTTCGTCGTGCGGCATCGGAGTGGATCAAAGCCTGCATATGTTAGCAACATAACCCCAAACCATGAGGCATCACTCACGTTTTTGACTATGATGCCACCAAGGCTATGCGCGATGAATATGATCTGAGGCCGTGATGACTGGCTCTTGTCAGCCGGACGACTTGCCCAGAACCGAGATATGTTCAGTTGTGCCTCACATATGTCAACGTACGCTTCCGACACAGGTCCGACACGAGGCTGCGCGCGTGGTCGTACAGATATTGGCAGCTCACGCGCGAGCTGTCGTGGGTGTTCGCGTCGTAGCCCCAACACATGATGCGCGCGTGCGGAATATCGGCAGGGAGAAGATCGCGGAGCCAATGAACGCCCTTGGGAGCTGTCCATGTCTTTTCTCGGTGGCCATTGAGGCCATGCACAGCGACGATGCTGGGTGGCGTCAGATGGGGTCAGTGGAGCAGATTCGATGGATCTCGAGGGGGTCTGCTTACTCCACGACGGGGGATCGAGGTTGCTGTTCTTGTGGCCATGATTGCCCCGTTCCGTTGAGTACGGATCTGAGCTTTCAGTCAGATTTGGCGAGTTGCTGCGAAAGACAGCTGAGATTCTAGGAAAGAAGAAAAGAAACAAAACTTGATCAAATGTGATCTTGGTTGCGTAGCAGCTTAGAGCCACCTTTCTTCTCCCAAGGGGTCCTCTTGCCTTCATTGTTCACACATTACTACCAGTTGCTCTTGGCTTCCTAACGGCCGATCACCGCTGCGGTTTGTCCTGCAGAATCTCCCCTTAGCACTCCGTCGCTCGACCATATCTTTCACATGTGACATGTCCTTTGCAGGCTGCAAATCGGGGTCTCATCCTACCAAAAGTATAGCTCGCCGCTCCTAGTTTATTGCTCACCGAGCCTACCGAGGTCTACGGACGCAGAGGTGAGATCATGGCGCAACAGCATTTGACTGAAACGCTGCAGCCGGCCATTGGACACATGGAAAGGGACTTGTTAACTTCTCACGATCTGGCGGGCGAGAAATTGGACCAATTCTAGCGTCGTGGTGTACGTGTTGTTCGTGGGGTGGGGAGGTTGACTGGAAGCGACAAGACGGACGGGGCCGTCGAGCTCCAGCAGCAGACATATCAGTTGATGCGAGATTGCTGTAGTGTCTGGCAACTTGATTGAAGTATTCACGATGAACTCGAAAGCCAGAGGCACACGAGGCCTCATATTCCCGATACTCACCCAACACTTGAAGGCTGTAACCGTCGCGTCATTCAGCTGACCTCCCACAGACTTGCCCGATAAGCCTTTCCACCTTCTACACATCCACTATCCACTTCGATGGATCAGAATTGGGAATTCCTGTCGACCAGATCACCTACCACAGACCTAGCTAATACTCTGCGTATCCCGCAAAATTCGCATTTGAGAAGTTGAAAGACAACACGCGGCGCGTAGGACGCGTCTAGACAGCGAGTACGAAGGCCGAAACACGGAAGACGAGGCGCCGCTGCGTCACGAAAAGGAAGGATTTATTATGAGCTTAGACGAGGCTGCTGAAATGGTGTCCGTGTTGGCTAGACAATATAACTTCAGAACAGAAGTTGTTCCTTTGCTCTGTACTTCTGCAATGTGCTTCTGGCATTTACCACGTGGGCCCATTACGTCAACAACATCACCCACTATCAACGAGAACTATCCGGCGCAAGAACCGAAGAAACGTCAAGTGACTGCGTTACTCATTGCCAGTTCTGCTAAGGTCGGTGCGCCTCTTGTTGTGGGGCAATTGCTCAACACTTCCTGTTTCTCCTTCATTTTGATCCTCCTCTCCGCCGTTCGACGTATTATCGCGCTAAAATGTCTTGTGGCAGTGTTCCGATCAGTACAAAAATAGATATTTCTGGAGCAGGTTGTACACGGCTTCGTTATAAGGGACCCGAGTCGATGGCTCTTTCCAAAACCTCGCCCTCCAGGGTCATCTTGGCTGGTCATTGATGTTGTATCGTCCCATTGACTTGAAAGGTGTAAGCCTGAGTATGACTGGAAAGATTTCCCCCTCGAGGAATTGGTACGATGATTTCAAGACCAAAAAACGCGAAGGGGCCGAAATTGGTCCAGGATGCCCACCGGAAACTGGGCTCTATGCCGGATTTTATGAACTAAATATTAGCCACTATCCGCGCCAACCAGTCAATATTGTCCCAGGGTTCCGATCTACCCATTGCTCAAACAGTCCGTGGAAGATGCTAAGATAACTGAACGCGGGAACACGTCGCCGAAAGGCTTTTTCGCCTTCAAGCCGGGTCTGGACGAAAGTGTCCACAAGAACACCGTTGAAGCCCGAGAAGCCGTAGGAAGAGTTGGTAGAAATATTTTATTGATGTTTACTTCGTCAGCATGTCAGTCACGTGCCAAGGAGTAATTGCACGAGACCTCTCAGATATCAAACTCAGGTGACCGTGTGTGTACGGGCTGTTGGCGGCAAATACCGGGCTAAGCAAAAAGACGGGACGGCTCTGTGGCCAGAGCGGAGGTGGGGTGCTTGAAGCCACGCCAGATTTTGGCATCGCAAAAAGTATGTTGGCGCACCTGCAGTATCATCTATGCTCATGTTCAGCTTCTGGCCTAATCCCACAAGATCCTTGGAATGCTTTAGATCCGCGATCCTGTTCTGTTCCATCTTCATTCATTGCTCGTTCAGGGATGCATTCTCCCAGCGGATAATCCTCAAATTATTACTACTGTACTCTTGTCCGCCTCTTGCACTTGCTTACACGCCTATCGTGTCTGCTCCAAGACTACGAGAGGCCTCAGCCAACGGCATAGCAAGAAGACGATTCTCTATGACCTTTTCATTCAGATTACAACTGCAGAATAACGTATTCACATCAGAAAGCAGGACTCCACTCTGGCGTTGCAATCAGTGATACAGGTGTCGTGCACATTGCGACCAGTGATCAAAAGCGAGACAAAGCTTCCGTGGTAACTGAATCCCTGAGTGAAATCTGCGGCAATTTCGCGCCATTTTATTATTATCCAACTCATGTCATGTCTTGATGGCAATTGTGAAAGTCGGGGAACATCTCGGCGGGGTAGAAGAGCGTGTAATGCAAAGCATCACTCCGAAGCCTCTGCAAGCTTCTTTGACATCCCCTGACTATTATATATAAGTTAGTGATGATCGTGTATGAACGATCTCCAATTATGAGACCTTTAGGTTTGTTTTTATCACGGTAGAGTTTAAATTAGTATGCGAGTAAAGAAGTGCGCAACGCCTCTTCAGTGTCCCGTATGCACTTGGCTAGTTGCACATCCGCTTCCTTCATGTTTGCCGTGCCCTGGTTACATTCCAGGCGCGCATTTTCATGAACTGCGAGCCTAGACAACAGCACGCCCGTTACGTTCATTCTACCTTCGACACTATGTCCATCTGGTTGTGTCAATAATTGAAGGTCTGACCTGCCAACACTTAGGTCTGGCACAAGCTGTTCGCGCAA